GTTTCCGTCCGAGTCGAACGCTGTTGCGTTGGAGTGCACATAACTGTGTTTTCATCTGTGTCTTGCTTAGGTGTCTGCAACTCTCTCTCGCTGGTCGCCACTGCATGAGGCGCCTCCACTCCTGCCTTCGACGCCGCGGCCCTCTCTGCTTCCTCTTCATCCATCAGCAATTCAGTGTGGTCGGCATTTGTTCCTCGACTAGCTGCACTGGCGCAGGAAAGAGTACGGTCCGCCTGCTCACGCCCAAAAGCGCGACAACCAGCGCACCTGGGCACCCTGCAGTCGCGACGAATGTGTCCAGTGTTCGACAACGCCGGCGCGGCGGCTCTTTTCCTGGCACGACCACCAGTGCCGTGCCGCTCTCGTGACGCATCTGGTGGGGTATACGATCCATAGTAACGTCTTCTTTAAGCAATAGCCGAATGAATCTTGCGGTTGACTCAAGTCCGTCGAAGTCTTCGTCTCTCCACTTGTCGCTGATGACTTCTTTCTCTTCACCATACTCCCGGAAAGCACGCTGTACAGTCTCTGCGTTGACGTCAAAGGCTACCCAATGCAACTTGAGAGGCACCTCTTGCCTCTCTGGGTCGACGGCGACGCAGGGCTGGTCTTTCACAGAGAATAGGCTAGCGTTCAGAAGTGTCTTCTTGGCCTCATCTGTCTTCATGTTAAGAAGCCAGACGTGCGTCATCTGATACGGTCCTATGCCGCTTACCTCTTGAATGATGTCTAGTTCCTTGAGCGGCTTTCGGAAGTCATTATTCCCGTACGGACGCGCTGCGATGTCGCAGTGCAGAACCAACGCGTGCCTGAGTTCTTCGCCTGAAGGCAGTGGTGGCAGAATTAAACGGTAGTCCTTGGGAAGTGATGTGCACGAGAAACCACGGCCAGCGTCGGCCGCTGTAACAGCTCTTGACGAGCCTGCCATCCTGCGTCAGCACGCATCCTAGACCAGAAGCAGAATGACTATTTTTCACGTATACATGCAGTAAGAAATAAGCGTGTGGAATATATAGCCCCTATTTCGCAGGGGCATGTCTGGCACAGAGGCGCACTTGCGTTTCAGGAGGAATTATAAGAAATATATTCCTATAGCACTATATTGTAATGCTTGGCTACGTGTGTTTGGTGGCGTAGCACAAGATCTTTAAACAGCCTTACTTATAAAACATTATATGTTATATTTATCTAATATAAAATGGCCATAAAAAGGCAATATGTACAGTGGCCGAAACAAGGTACCGAACTCAGTCTCAGTGCATTTCAGTGCTTCTCACAACTAATATGTCAGCGTTTAAAAGGTAATAATTGTTTTGGGGGTTTGACGCGCCAAAACAATGATGATATGTGAGGACACGCCGCAGTGGAATAACTGTGACTGTCCTCGAGGGTAATTGTGACCATCTGGGTATTTTGATTTGCTGCTCTTGTTAATGTTTGCTGTAATTTACTAAGTTTATTGTAATTGTTTATTACGGCGGGTGTAACACTTGAATATGGTTCTTTAACTTGTACTTCTCCGTTTAGACAGTATCCGAATGAAGTTTGCATATCTCGGTTGAGTAATTTAGAACGAAATGTATTTTCTTGACCTATGGATACCTTCTGCGTCATTTTTCCGTTTAATGATGATACGTTGCGACGATTCCTCTCATAAATGATCAGAATCGCATTCACACACATTTTTGGATTAGATAGTCAAAATCCGGGTAGCAAAGAGGTAGTAACGGGGCAAGAAAGGTAGTAACGGCTGCAGTTACTACCTCTTTCGTTTCATTTACTAATTGCTTACTAACGTAGGTAGTAAAGAGGTCACAAAATGTCAGTAACGGTAGCAGCTAGTAACTGTTTACTAACGTAGGTAGTAGACAGGCAGCAAAGGGTAGTAACGGTCAGAGAAAGGTAGTAACTGCTGCAGTTACTACCTATTCGCTTGCAGTTGCTGCCTTTTTACTAACTTTTTCATGAGAGTGCATGCTCAGCGCTCTCTTAACAACGAAGACGTCATGGCGCACGCAAAGAGTAGTAGGGCCGACTATTGAGTCGGCAGGCCCATTCGCCAAAGTGAATGCCGCGACCAACATCTCGCTGAGAATCGGCTGGATAAAGGGCGTCTTCTACTTAATGTGAACAACAGGACTGTCACAGAACGAGCGCTCAAAAAGGGCGCGCCGCCAAATTCTCGCGACAAAACGCCGGAGTGACTCAGCGAGGTCAACGAAAAAGAAAGAAAAAGAAAACAAACATTTAAAGGCTCCCCGGGCGCGCGAGCTTCTCCTCTCGGAAGCGTGGCTTCGCCGATGAACCTCCTCACCCCACATCGGCAGCCGAGCAAGCACTCGAATGTTCTAGATGGAAAGGGGCGGGGTCATGCTGGGTTGAGTCATCCGTCGCGGGCGGCATTCGAACCGTCTCGCCTTCTGCCCAGTCTTCGCTGCGTATCGCGCCGACGAAATGACGAGAACTTTCTGGAATCTCACACGGAGGGTATTTAATCGAGCAGCCGAGGTGAGAGATCAGGAGAAGACGGAAGTTAGCGCCAGAGCGCGTAGGGATTTCGCCGTGTAGTCGGCGAAGGTTTTGTCCGTAGAGACAAAGCAGGAGAAGAAGATGATTTCCACCTGAGGGGTGACGACTCGAGCTACAGACAACAGTGTGTGTGTTCACCGCTATCGAGCGAAGACGCGTGGCAACAGCTGCGTGTGTGAAGCCGACGTGTTTCCGACGAAGAAGTTTGAAGCTTGGAGAGTGGCCAACGGAAGACGCGAGGTTTCCTTGAAGAGAAACTTCGGCGAGGTTTCCTGGAGGAGAAACTTCAGGGGCCTCGTAACGACAACAACGCTGGACTATGAGTGAGTGATTCTCGGAAGAGTATCATCCCGACTTTTGTTCCAAGGACTTTGGACTGAATAGGTTTTCTATCTCTTTAGTCTTTAAGTGTCTTGGTTGTTCAATGCATGCGACTGCATTGTAGTGCGTATTGTTGTCTATGTCCGTTGTTTCGAGTGTGGCTGATTGTACTGTGTAATACGTTGTTTGATTGGTGACATATTGTGCTCGACTATAGTGGAGTGTGCATACTTGTGTATTGTTTTGGATCTGCCTTTATTGAGAATATATTTCTGTTTTGTTTATCAACTCTCGGCTCTGACTTGTTCTTTGGGCCACAGCCAGTGTCCACTGGCGCGCCAAAAAGGACCACTTCTAAATTGTCCACGCTTTCGTGGTGCGGTTCCCGGGGCCGATACTTCGGCCCTTGGAATTATCCCGGCGATCGCCTCCCTAATTAACGGGACCCGTGACAAGGACTCATGCACTGTACCATTAGAAACCCATTATGCATTCTTTAGTAATCTTTTTTCGATCAACACTCTTAAAAGTCGAGGCTGTATACGTAGTTTAGCCAACTTACAAATAAATATTTCGATGTGCATAAACCGACACTTTGAACATTGGAATGTGCCGAGACAGCATACAGATTACGGTTTGAGACATTGAGTTATTGCTTGCTGAATACTCTAAATAAATTAGGAAATAATTGTGAACATGTTCGTATGCTCTGTAACACTTTAATTTGAAATATGCTTTATTAGTTTATGTGTGTTGTAATACTTTCTGCTTGTATACTTCTATCTTTAGATGTATAGCATGCGTGTTACTGGATTGTATAAGTTTGCAGAACTTTAGTGTTTTGACGCAAAGCATTTACATCGCTGGTTTCAAATGTCCTGTGGTTTACTTCGCTTTTGCCATTTTGTTGTTACAGTAACCCCAGGGTTATGGGGCATTGTCAAGCTGTCTTTTTTTTTTCTCCTGTCTCCAGTAAAATCAGTGAAGGAGTAGGGCACATAATAAGCGGAAATAGGCCAGGCAGGTTTTTTTATGTATTCGACTATGGACTACATGGTATCTAAGGAAGGGCTCTGCGTGCTGAGGAATACACTTCAAGGTAGCCTCGGTGCGTAGATGCTTTACGATGGTGCGATAAAAAATGTGGAAATGTTCTATGGGAGAGCAAAGGTAGTTTCACATGGTGCTCAACAAGATAACGGTACGTGCTTGCATCATTTGAACACTTTAGCTGTATATTGTCGATATATACTGATGCACCTACGCCAACGTTGGTTATTTGCAGAACGTTAGCGCTTGTCGCCTGGAAACATGGAAGTAAAACAATTCAGAAAGTGTGAACTATCAAAAGTGAAAGAGAAAACGAAAGCGCAAAAAACAAAAGATGACCGCCGATTGCCTGTTGGTCGCTCACCGCATGGGCAATGTCTACATGAAGTCAGGCACCCAGGGGTGTGTGGCCTGTGTCGTTGGGCCTCTGATTTCAAATTACTCGGCGTCGGTTTAACCCTCTGCCTCCATCCCTTTATTTCTGGGCACAACAATACACAAAAAATGGTGAAGCGTGGGAGTTGTTCGAAACACTACCACTGGCTGGGGTACGTCATTTCGCCAGTAACCTGTCCGCAGGAGTCTCTGCATGCCCAGACACCGCTGCGGGGAAGAACAAGGTTCCCTATCAAGCCCAAATTGAAACAATTAGATGTGTGGCCCCGCATATATATTCGAGTGATGAGGGTGATCGTTGCAAGCGATTACGACTGAAACGCGGAGGTCACCTCCATCACCCAAAACGCGTGCGAATTGAAACCAAAAAGGGAGGTGCCTGGCTACGGCGTGAAATGTGTATTATCAGTTGTAGGGCAAAGTTGCCGGCACTTATACACACCATATTTTTACATGACTCGGCAAACTTTCACTCATCTCTACCTTTTCTTTTTTAACATTTCGTTTGCGTTGTAGTGATACACCACAGCTAGGTTGCTTCGCTCGTCACAGCAGTCATGTGTTCTTAATTAAGCAACGCGACACTATGTGCTTACGGCGTGAGCTGCTAGCTCCACTTAGTATAACATCAAAGCTTGTCGATGTCGTATAGAATTACTAGGCCCTAGTGCAGTGAAAATGCAATTTTTTTTCTTTCTTTGTAGCGACGCTGGTTCTTGTGATGTTATCATCCGCTCCTGTCAATATATTTCTACCTTACCTCATTTGTGAGCATAGCGCAGATGGTGGTTCATCCTACGCCGCTATTCTTGGGATATACGCAGTCGGAGGTAAGTCATCTGCTACGTAGCAGTGATCCGTCATTTTTTTATGTATCTCACACATTTTTGTAGTATCTTTCACTACCACCCTACTTTATCTGACTTTCCTATGAGCCTGAAAAACTACTCTCTGCTTCTAGCCGGAAGTAATCTACTCGCTTTCGGCTTGTTTGCGTCCCAACTAGACTTATGCACTGCAGCTACCGTCCCGCGAATGAGTGCGAGTCTGGCGCCGGAGTAAAGTAATATACTTTCTCCGTAAAAGGGCGTGCTAAGTGCACTTTACGCGTACAACTCTGAACTGTGAAGCCGCAGTTTGGAGTGGCATGGTGATTTCGAGCGGCAGTGGTCACGCAGCAGATGACACTGTCTGCGGCAGTTGGCCATGGTGCTGGCAGCATGTACCTTTTTGCTTTCGATAGTGTACCAACCAGCAAGCTTGCGCTTTGCGAATTGTGCCCGAAACGCGAACGATGGTGGAAACATGTTATGGGCTACTAGGTGACCAATGAGGCTACCGCAACGAAAACAAGAAAGTAGACCAAATATACCTGAAGTCTTCCGATGTAAGCATTCACACGTGTGGTACACGTGCGCGGTGTGTGTGTGCGTGTGTCGTTAGACAAGGTCAACATGATGTGGATATTAGAACGCCGAGCTTTAACCCTCCTTCCTTTCGCGTCTTTTTAGCTGACCATTGTCGTGGCGCCAACCAACGTATGAAGCGCACGTGCTGAAAACGGCAAGGTTTGCCGGCAGTGCAAAAGCATTCCGTGTCGCGAAGGTGAAATAGGAAAGAACCTGATCGGTGATCGGCAGCGCGTAGCATGTACGGAACTGTAATAATAATGTCGCTTCGCTTTCGAACTATGTTAAACTTGCCCAGTTGCAAAAGTATGCCGCTCATCTCCACCAACGTAAAACGTCTTTTTTCGAATCCTGCAAAACACTGTTGTAGGTCGGTGTTACGTCCGTACTCCCCCTTGTGGCTGTAGAGAAATTATTAAAGTGGCAAAAAATTATTATTGCGTTGGCTCAGAGGATGCGTTTGTTACTGTTGCATGAGAAAGCGTTTGTTACTGTTGCATGCTACAATAAGCGCCCACGTACATATTTCTGTTCATCAGCACCAATAAATTTCTGGGAGTGGTCAAGTATTCGAATGCTGAAATGGCAGACGAAATAGTAACTATTTCAAAAACAAAACTTTTAAGCTGTGAAAAATGATCCTAAGCTATAAGAAATAAACGGTAAGTTGCTAGAGAAATATGTTGAACCTAAATGTTAAACGCAAAGTACATTTTAAATGAATGACGAGTTGCTCTGATAATCAGGCGTCACCACTTGTGACGGGCACTTTTAGTGGTCATAAAGCAAGAATTTGCACACTGCTATGCAGAGTGGCTACTTAACATTTACATGGCATGGTTTGGTATTAGCAACCTAAAATGAAATTTCTGTTCTTCAAGGCTTCTTCAAACCACTCTAATGCTAAACACGATTCATTGATTATCACAACGAATGTAGATGTCATTGGGTGCACCTGACTGACTGTGAAAAAGATAATAAAACACTGTCCACGGCAATAACTTTCGGCAATGTTCAGTGCAAAAAGTGTCGTGCACGCAAAATTACAGAAGCCTTAATAATCTCCAACAACTCCACCTTAAAGCAGAAAGCCTGGATAGATTATTAGATGAAGTTAGATCACCGAGGCCTTCATTCCTTCGCCGTTTCCGCAAAAAGTACGTTGCCAAGATTCAATGCCGAGAGTTGGTACCGCCTTTTGTGGCACCTACTCATAATTTTTGTTGTCGTTGGCGGTTCTTCTTCAACACCTCTGCTCCATCAGATGTGAGTGCCATTTTCTGTAAAATGAGAAAATCTTCATACTACTTCCAACAAATGGTGCAGATTTCCAAATTTAGGTTGGCTCACGTCAACAAGCGACAAATCTCGTTGCCGTAAGTTAATTGCTAGTTTATTTTATTTTACACCGTGAAGACACTCAAATGCAGAACAATGCTGAGAAGATTAGAGATTCAGGCGAATAGGTGTTACATGCGAAATAGCCATGCTGTGATGGTCTCTCTCACTAGGTAAAAACGCCAGGCCTGTGTGACATGCGTAGCACCGTAAGCGCGAAAAGTGAAAGAGCAGCCTTTCAAATCCTTTCTAATCATTCGTTGGGTAACTGGTACAATTATAATTGCTGGGTACCAACTACAGACATCAAATATGATCCTAGTTTTTGTATAGTTGGGCAGCATTCGCTATGCTAGCTTTCGTCATTCTTCGGAGGAGCATTGTATCTGCTAAACATTTATTGTGCCTGATAACCATATGCATGAACAGCCTAAGCGCCACAGTTTTTTTAGCAGTTAAAACTTATTGACATTTTATCATTTCACTTTAGGAAGGCAGCAGTTCGTATTCTTTTCTGAGCCCAATTTTTTTTGAATGAGCATCATTCTCGTGTATATGAACCCCAAAAGCTCAAACTTTTCTACATTTTTTCAAACACTTCTAGATGCTTTAATGGTTAATAATTTGGAAATCAGATAAACCAATCCGCCAAGTACAAATAGAACTTGATGATATCTTCCCAATCAATGCTAAACACTTGCCCTCCAAGTATTTGATTGGCTTATTAGAAGAACGCCTGTCTCAATTAGGTACTAATATAGTAATTGCAATGAACGCATGTATGAGTAGCGAGAAAGCAGGTGTGGATATTTTCCTTTCTCATTAGTCTCGCCTTCTCTATTACACTTCCCAGATTATACATTCATGCTTGAAACAGAATGAACAGCTAGTACACTAGCTCTTCAAAATCTCCCTGCGTCTCAAACGAGAGTTGTGATATTGACTGACTCATTATCCGTGTGTTCATTTTTATCATCGTCGTAGGCATCAGCAGTACTGGATACATTTAAATCATTCATTCCAGCAAACATTCGCCTAGTGCGATTGATATGGGTACCCGGCCACCGTAGTATACTTACAAATGTAATGGCTGACTCACTCACGCAAGTATCTCTTGATCTTCCGATTGTGTCAGTCATGCCTCTTCAGCTTATGTAACAGCAGTGCGGTTAAAAAAACTAACTTTCCCTTCTTGTGCACCCATCAAAGATTACGACACCAAATCTAGATTTTAAGCACCTTTACTTCGCATGGAACAATAAATGATGTATCATGCGTAGATTGGAAGTCTCCGTAACAAAATACCATGCCTTGTACCACCGCCTAAATTCTGTGTAAAGAGGTCTGGTCTGGTACCGTCACCTCTGTGCTCAAGCCGTAACAAAACTGAAAATATCGACTATTTTTTTCTCACTTAATCATAATCATAATCATCATTATCATGGTCATCATCATCGCCGCCGCCGCCGCCGCCGCCGCCACCACCACCACCACCACCACCATCATCATCATCAACTACTTCATCATCATGATCATCATCATCATCATCATCATCATCATCAGCCTGACTACGTCCACTGCAGAACAAAGGTCATTCCCATGTTCCACCAGTTCCTTGCTGCTGCCAATTTATACCCGCAAACTTCTTAATCTCATCTGCCCACCTAACCTTCTGTCTTCTCCTTATCCACTTGCCACCGTTTTAAAAGCCGAACAATGTTTCGAATTTTTATTAAAAAAATAGGAACATCACTTACTACTTGGAATGTTTGCCCTTTGGGGCTGCTTTATTAGGATTCAGCGACAGCAACGTCTGCAGGGCCTTGTGCGAATTCCTTTGCGACAAAAGAAGATTACCTTGCTGAGCCATTGATCAGCTGTCGGTTTTTACTAACCAATTTTACGTTTAATATTTATTTGTAACACGGTAATGACTTAGCCTACAAAAGAATTTCATATAATGAATATACTTCAGTTATTCAAAAAATCCTATTATTTCTTTTCATTCATTTGTTTCACATTGCGCAAAAATATTCCCGTCTTGTAAAAAATGCAGTCAAATTTCCTTAGCCTGGACAATCCTAAATTGTCCACTTACATTACCAGCTGGCTTCTTGGCTAATCCGCCTTAGTGGGCGAGAGCCACAAGAAAGGATCAAGCAAGCAAGGAATTCGCCACAGTTAACAAGTGCTCAAAAACGAGCTTTTGTAAAGGGTTGGCGCACTGGACGACCCACTCGTTACTCAATTCGCAATGTGTGACACCTGGTTGTTCCTTTCATGTTATAAAACGCGTCATCGCTTATATTAGCGCGATTCCTTTCCCGACATCAAGTATACCTTTGGCCAATATAGAGAATAGTTTCAAGCACTGGTGTGGCTCCATTGCATGACATACAAAAGTTTTGAGACAAAGAAGAGATTGAACACAGTCGCTCTCTAAAACACTGACAGATGATTACCGTTGCATTTATTGACTTTCAGCCGGATTTATTTCGGTTGTTCTTAAGAGTAGTTCTCGTTATATTTATAATATTTCAGCGGCACACCAAGGTACTTGACAAGTGTAGTCACCCATATTTCAAGGGCAAACATACAGAAGCTCCATCGCAACTTCGCAGTGTTCGTGTGGGCCGTGAACCGGGAGTAATGATGTCGAACCAATCTGTTTCGAAGAGTGAAACAGGGAGGGCTGAGTTTACCACATATTTTCATACGCGAAGTCGTAAATAGGGTCTTTTTTTCGCTACACAAGAGATCCTTGTTTACAAACAGTGTGCCAACTGAGACTGATGCGGGCTTTACTTGGATATGTGGTTTCTTGAAAGCGAGGCTTTCATCCTTGAGAACAAGAATAACAAGGGAAGGTTTATACTCCAGTCGTGGTATATACAGCGAATGGCCGAAAACATTAACCGCTCTCTCAGTACCCTTCCCTTAGTGTATACACACGGACAGCGCTCAATGGCTAAACGAGAGAGAGAGAAAGAGAGAGGGTGCTAAACCACGCCGCTAGTGCTTTGAAGACGTCGCTGCTACGTAGTCCTAGTCCCAACTGAGGAAGGAACCAGGTCGGTTCTGAAATATCGGATTTATTCACAAACGTTTAGTTGGAGTTTAAATCATTTCCTAATACTCGTTAACCTCCTTCAAAGTGCCATTTCTACGCGTACGTCCTATCGGTGCGTTTCAAAAAGGAGAAGTGCAACTTTGTGAATGCCTTAACCCATTGCCAAGTGGTGACCTTACCCATTGCCTCGGCATGTCTCGTGGGATCTATCCATAGCGACTGAGTTCTACAGCGCAAACAGCAACGATCTTCCTTCGCCTTGACGTAACTTGCGCTTCCCGCGTGAGAAATCTCAGGCAGCCAAGAGGAAAGACGCCACACATATGGCGTTTTTCCTAATTTACTGTAGCATGCCGTAGTAGGCGACTTTAGCCCAAGTCTGGCGTACATTTCGCGACGCTCTTCTGCCTGTCACGTTGATTTCTTTTGTTCCCCTCTCACCGATAACTACTAGAGCTACCGCAGGAGTCGATCACCACAAGGACAAGTTTTCTCGTTATTCAAATAATAAGTGGGAACGTGATGACTAAGCATCAACGTTGCTGACTACGCATCAACGTGGATGCCTTAGAAATACGGTGATACAATTTAGCTCTCAAACAGCGACAACATTTTATCATCTGTCTTATATCAAGGTACAGTAAGCACTGAACTACTTTTGTAAAAAGACGTTTAACTTTCATGTTATATCCCATAAGAAGAAGCAGGAATCAACCACGATAAATCTGCGAAGTGTTTCTCCGGTACTACGAATGCATGTTTTGCAACCTTGCCCGCCATGCTGTGTGCCTGAAGTAGTCGCACAGCATTCGAATGCGGGAGACAGCCCCGCCGCGGTGGTCTAGTGGCTAAGGTACTCGGCTGCTGACCCGCAGGTCGCGGGAACCAATCCCGGCTGCGGCGGCTGCATTTCAGATGGAAGCGGAAATGTTGTAGACCCATGTTCTCAGATTTGGGTGCACGTTAAAGAACCTCAGGTGGTCGAAATTTCCGGAGCCCTCCACTACGGTGTCTCTCATATTCATATGGTGGTTTTGGGACGTAAACCCTACATACAAATCATCAATCAATCAATCGAATGCGGGAGATCAGGACTTGAAATAACCCAAACTCTTTTGTGCTGGTGACAGCAAGAAAAATCCTTCTTAAAAACGTGGCCATTTTCTTGTTCGAATAAAATTTACTAATCAATGCAAATTTAGGCATTCACAAAGAATATTTGCTGCCTTTCGGGCACTGACTTTTCTACAAACTTGTGGCTCATTTTCTTGCTATTTTTCGGAGATTATTTCAGTTGCGTTCTAGCGCGTATCTTCAAGATTTCGCCACCTGCGTAAAACTAGCGATAGTGGGTAAGTGTGCTTATACAGATGGACGAGTCAATAGATGCACAGATAGAGAGACGGTTGATTGGATTATCGGGTGCATAAAAGGTGCAATCTTTCTGTACAAGTTGACTGAGCCAAGATCTTTGAGCCACCAAGCTTCCACTTATTCTTTACAGATGATTTCATATTTATAGAGTGTTTCTGTATAAAGAAGAGGCACAGATGATGCCTCTGAAGTTTCTCCTTTCATTATTCCTGCAGCTTTCTCGCCATTGCTCATCCCACTAGACTATATTGATATTTACTTAGGCTGATTCCACGCCACTTGCGGCACTCTTTAGTTTATGTAGGATGGTTATTTTAACAACAGACTCATTTACCAGCATCATGCACTGTTAAACAACATAATGATGCTTTCTCCGCAGGTCCAGCTCTTGTCCTCGCCTACCTCTTTACAACTACATTCAATGAAGAGAGAGATTGGAGGACTGTTTTTTTGTTTTTTCCTCCATTCCAACTACCAGCAGCTTTTGTACGAGCCGTAAGTTTTGAAAAAGAAATGACAGCATGCGACTACATGCGACAGAAAAAATCGAGGGATGGCATCTTCTGTTGGTTTGCTGGAAAGTTCAGTTCTGCAATCAAACATTGCTGCGATGGTATGTACATTTTTTATGAATAGTTGCTTCATGCTATCGCTAGCATATTCTTGATATTAGTGGGTCGCCCTAATTGAAGCTTGGCTATTATTGCGATAGCACTTATATAGACACTCTTGGCTGGATTTTGCCGCTGGCGTCGGCGTCACCGTTCCTCGCCGCATATGAATACGTATCTGTATATATGAAAATGCAAGAAAGAAAAAAAAACAGAAAAATACTCCGGTGCGAAATTGAACTTGCGTGCCCTGCTTCGTGAGTACGAGGCGTTAACCACTGCGCTACCATAAAGCACGTTTTTCAACGTTCAAACGGCAAGTTATCTAAATATACTACTTGCCGCTGTTGACGGGCATCTCTGGGAGAATTGATTTTCAGCATTACCAGTAAGATGGCGCAATGAGCGTGCGTTGCCACATCGCATGGTGGTGCGTGCTTGAATCTCTCACACGTACTGTGCCCCGCTCAGAGGAGGGGAGCGACGCTCCCTCGGGCGCTCTTATCTGACGGTGGGGAGGAGGGGAAGATGGTACTTCTTGGCTGGCCTCTAGTTTTACCGGGAACAATTCCGCTGTAGTTACCGGGTGCGCAAAGGCCACTGAAATCATTGTAGTCTCTGTTTGCGAAAAGCGCGCGCTTTTGTGGCACAGTGAAGTAACAACTGAAACGCTTATTCACGTGCATCTGTACCTGTGAGTACATTTCGTGCGTCATTCGCACGTGAATAACGTGGGCCGCGTTTTGATCTGCGCTCAATTCTGCGCGTGATCTTTCATTTTTTCGCTATCACGTTCATTGCTTCTTCTTTTTGGCAAAGCTGTGACTTTTTACAGAGAAACATTTCTATTGTTACGGTGGAATTAAAGGATAGGTGGGTTTATTTACAAGGTGAGGATAAAGTTTGGCAGACGCGGTAAAGATGGAGTCCTCAGGCCGCACCAGACAACGTCGTCTTCCTCTTCTACCTCCCCGGCACATACTACAGCCCGGAACATACCGTAGCAATCCCCGTTCCCAGACGAAGCCCGCTGGGCGAGTTTATGTCACTGGAGGGATTAAACTTCTTCAGGCGAGCCACTTGCACCAACTGCGTTCGATTCAACCGAAGAGAAGGTGTCGTCAAGAGTGCCACAACGTACGTCAAGTCAGTCAAGTGATCTACAATGACGTAGGGGCCTGTGACTGCGGTAAAAACTTCTGACATAAACCAGGTTTTCGTTGGGGGTTCCACAACCACACGAATTCACCTTTGCGGAATGAAATGACATCATGGCGTTGAGCGTATCGTTGCTTGGAGCAATCTTGTGATGCCAGTGTTCGGAAGCAAGCAATTTGGCGGGCTTCTTCAGCCCGGCACAATGTTTCGGCCACGAACTCATCGGTATGGAGCTTAAATAGGAGGATTGTATCAAGGGAGCTGCGTGGTTATCGAGCGTAAAGCAGGTAGAAGGGCGTAAAGTCTGTGGTCTCGTGCTTCGCTGTATTGTATGCATAAGTAATAAATGGTAAGATCTGATCCCAGTTTTTGTGATTGGACGCGACGTACATTGCGAGCATGTTAGTAAGATTTCGATTGGTAGGTTCTACAAGACCATTCGTCTGGGGATGGTATGGTGTCGAATGTCTGAACTGTGAAGTGCTGAGGCGAAGCAATTCTTCCACAGCGTCCGCGATAAATTGGGGACCACGGTCACTAATGATTACTTGAGGTGGACCATGGCGAAGAACAACGGAGCGTAACAAAAAGGCAGCGACGCCATCAGCTGTAAAAGATGGTATCGCAGCGGTTTCGGCGTATCTGGTAAGGTGGTCGATGCACACTATTATACAGCGGTTGTTGTTCGAAGATCGCAGAAACGGGCCCAATAGGTCGATGCCAACTTGCTCGAAAGGCGTAGTCGGCGATTCTACGGCATGAAGAAGGCCGTGCGGTGCACTGGTAGGCTGTTTGTAGCGCTGGCAGGTCTCGCAGCTCGAGACGTATTGTTTCGTGAAATCTCGCCTTCGGGGCCAGTAAAAACGCTGCTGCACTCGATGCAAGGTGCGAATGAACCCAAGGTGTCCTGACGTTGAATCATCGTGCATAGTACGGAGAACGTCGCATCGAAGACTCTGAGGTACAACCAGTAAATAACTTGCGCCGGTTGCTGAGTAATTCGTTTTGCACAACAGTCCATCACAAATGCGAAAGCGACCAGTGCCTTTGAGATTCCGAGCGTCAACGAACAATGGGTCTAAAGATAAATCATTCAATTGCTCTCGTTTGAAGATATTGGCGTCAGGAAAGGTGTGAGAGACCGCAGCAAACAGACGTCAAGGGTATCTGAACTGTTTTCCGTCATGGTCATAGGTAGACGAGAAAGGCAATCAGCGTCCGAATGACGTCGTTCACTTCTGTACGAAATGCTGAAGTCAAATTTTTGAAGGCGTAAAGCCCATCGAGCAAGGCGGCCAGAAGGGTCTCGGAGGGTAACAAGCCAACATAATGAATGATGGTCTGCCACATTCGTGAACGGACGACCGTAAAGGTAACATAGAAACTTCTGAATGGCGAATACAGCCGCTAAACATTCTTGCTCTGTCACGGTATAATTCATTTCGGCCTTGCTTAGAGATCAACTCGTATAAGCAACAACATGCTCTGCATTATCATGGCGCTGAACAAGCACACCTCCAATGCCGATTCCACTTGCGTCACTGTGCACTTCTGTAGCAGCAGAAGGATCGAAATGATGAAGAATAGGCTCAGATGTTAGTAGGAATTTCAGTTCAGAAAACGCGGCATCACAATCAGGTGTCCATTCGAATGGGGTGTCTTTTCGCAACAAGCTCGTCAGTGGGTGTACTACGTCCGCGAATCGGGGCACAAAGCGGCGAAAGTAAGAACATAGGCCTGAGAAGCTGCGAAGTTTCTTCAGTGTCTGGGGTGGTTTGAGTGTGCCGACTGCTTCGATTTTGCCGGGATCCGGCCTGACACCATCTTTGTCAACTAGGTGACCGAGGACTAAAGCTTGTCGTTCACCAAACCGGCACTTCTTAGAGTTCAAAACCAAGCCAGCCTTTCCGACACAGTCTAAAACAAGGTTTAAACGGACGTTGTGCTCTTCGAAGCTACGCCCAAAAATGACGACGTCATCCAGGTAGCATAAGCACACCTCCCATTTAAGACCACGAAGGACAGAGTCCATAAGCCTTTCAAAAGTGGTGGGGGCGTTGCAAAGCCCAAACGACATCACATTGAGTTGGTACAGTCCATCAGGCGTCACGAATGCGGTCTACTTCTTGGCTGAAGGGTGCATAGGTATCTGCCAATATCCTGATTGTAGGTCTATTGAAGAAAAGTACGAAGCCGAGTGTAAGCAGTCAATATCATCGTCAATTCTAGGCAGCGGATATACATCTTTTTTGGTCATGGCGTTGAGTCTTCTGTAATCAATGCAGAACCGCCAGGCCCCATCTTTCTTCTTAACCAAGATGACCGGTCCTGCGCACGGGCTACACGACTCTTCAATAACACCCTTCTTCAGCATTTCCTGAACCTGGTCGGCAATAACTTTTCGTTCTGATGACGACACTCGGCAAGGCTTTTGTCGGATCGGATTGCCAGTGCTAGTGTCAATCCTATGGTGTGCGCGAGAACATGGTAATGGTAGTGTCTTCTCCTCTTGGCAAAAGTTAAACACAGAAGCATGTCGCCTCAACAGATGGCGCAATGTTTGCTGCTCGTGTGACCGCAAAATGGCGCTAGTCATGCCTAGGATCTGCGACTCGTAAGAGCAACTGTGCTTGCCAGAGAATGTACCTTTCTCGCTTTCATCGTTGTTAACGACCGCTACAAAATCTTCAGTGGAATCATCAAATACGCCAAGCTTCATTCCTCGAGGAAGCACAAGCGGCATTGGCGAACAGTTCAGTGCCCACAGAAAGGTTGCTCTTCATCAACAGATACCAAACTACAAGGGACGAGTATGCCTTTCTTAGCACATTGAAGGATGGCAGGTTCAACGATGGCGTCAAAATATGTGGCTGATTCTGGGGCGAACACTGCAACTGACCTCATTGACCATGGCGGCACTGTCAGCTCATCGGAAACAATCAGAGCATTTTTCGCGGCCTCCGGCGCCTCATCGACGAGGGCAGGAACAATGTCACCGCTGACGGAAAGTTCACCCCTTCTACAGTCGACGAAAGTGCCACATCCTTGGAGAAAGTCAAGACCGAGAATCACATCGTGGGTACAATGTTGCAGCACAAGAAACTCTGTTGGGAACACCTTTCCTTCCAATAAGACGTTGCCGGCACAAACTCCGACAGGATGAAGTACTTCCCCGCCAACACCACGAAACATTTGATGACACTTTAACCTACGCTAAAACTCATGGTTTAGATCATTTTAGGGACGAAGCTCCCTAAGTCATGGGTAGTCTGTCCACAATGTATGTAGTAGTAGTAGTAGTAGTAGTAGTGGTAGTGGTATTGGTAGTAGTGGTAGTAGTGGTAGTAGTGGTAGTAGTAGTAGTAGTAGTAGTAGTATGTAGCCACCTTCACGGCCGAACTTGAGAAGCAACACGCGCGCACTCTTTCATAACTTGACCTACAATAAAATTTGCCTTGAATTCGATGCTTACTATAAAAAAACAGTAACAGAAGGACGCACTTGAAGCACTAACTGACCCGAAAACGTTGTCTCGCTAAACTTGCTGGGCGTAACCTCCTTGGTTTTAGAAAGGTTTAGCTAGGGTTGGCCCAGTCAAAAAATTCAACAGGGCGTGTCTGATGTGTTTTTCTCGTTTTACACCAGAGCGGGAATTCAGACACGGTTTCTGCGTATACGGCTGGTCTGGTGTATACGACCGTTTTCTGGTGTGACACAGAGTGGTGTGTTTTGGCAAGACCCGGGCTGGTGTGTTTCGGGAAAACGCGGACTTGTGTGGTCCGGTGCGAACCGGGCTGGTGTGTTTTGCATCACTGGTTCTCGTATATTTTTTCTTTTTACGTAATTAAATGCATTGTGTATGAGCACATGAACTTTTACGTGTGCATGGGCAAAACAGCAAGCTTCCACAGTAGTGTTGGACTGAAAATGACTTTTCTGTTTATTTTTTTCTTTTCCTGTCTTAGCTTTATCTTTGAGTTGACCTGCATTGCTTCCTTTTCCACAATGCTTCTGCCAACACTGCAGGGCATGGAAAAGATTAACAATTTATTACAACATTGCCAAATTTGATAAATGAATTTAAATATGTGTGTTGCAGATTTGTCCTCTTACTTCAAAAAAAATTAACAGTGCGCAAATATTCCAACTTTCAAACATTTTTCAATTAGCATTTGCTAGTCGATTATTTTTTACTGAAAGTTTTACTCTTAGAATTTCTAAAGACAACATCCAATGCTCAATTGAGTGCAGCTCCTTCAGATTTTTTTAACTGCTTTACCTCACTACATTTTCACTATGCTGCAAAGCTGCCTTTCAAGCTAAAGTAGCAAATGCATTTATTCGAGAAAATGCTTATTCCAACACGAACATGCACTGTGCCGTTACAGTATACACTCAATTTTTATCAATATGCTTCACCGATTCTTGGGTTACGCTATGCGCATAATCAGATTGACTCACGTAAGCGCTGGTTCAAACCTGCATGGCAGGGGTGGAAGATTTATTTTATGCATCAGACCAAAAGGTCCGAAAAAATAGCACGAACCTTCTCACTATCTGAAATTTCAGGTGTTTTTGTGCGCAGACATCTGCACGGCAGAGCAGCAACTTCAAATTCGAAAGGAGCAAGCCTTTGTCCGCCAAATCAGAAGGGCCTCCACAGAAGTTAATGGGGTGGGGGACATTTCACATGTACACTGCTATCGACACCACATTGGTGGCACCAAATATAATAAATAAATACAATTTGGTCTGCAATGTCTCATCTTTGACAAAACAAGGGAGCACCTTCCCTCCAGATCTTCACCAACGTAGCCAAAAAACAGTGTCATATTTTGCAACTTCCGTTCAATTCGAGTATTAAAGATATTCAACAAATGTTCGAAAATATTTGATTCACACTCACATTTCAATATTGGAATTCATTTCGCACACAAAATTTTGCTATACGCACAGCTCTTAGAAAATGAAGAACACAAATTCATTTCTGTTCATCAAGAAATGCCTATCGCTGAACTATAACAGTTTATTATTTGCTCGCTAAGGAAGCACTACCAGTAAATATACATTTGCAAAGAAGTTTATGGGGTTATCATACAGCCTAACCAACACAGGAACTCATATTTAAAAGTAGGACTATCATTCAAACAAACCGTGACTAAGGGACAGCTCACACATCATGAAGCAGCAACTGCTGGAATGTCCGTACAATCATGAATTACAGTTGAGGTTTTCCTTTCGCAGACCAATACAGACTATAAAGAACGTGAAACAGGTAGACGCCACCTAAGTTTCAACAATACCAAATTATTTCTGTATGAAAATGTTGACAAAAGCAAAGTAGCCGTGCCTTTCAGCATTTTTCGCATTCGGCACGCACAGCCGTGAGCAGCTTTAACTTGAACGCTCCGATGAGTGGGTTCGGCTCTCTTGAACTTAGATCAGCGCTACCAAGCATTCAGCATGATATACTTGCTGCAATTACCAACAGATGTAGCGCGCGTCGGTATCGCTAGTAAATTTCAGTTTCCAGTTAGCCCGACCGGCGGATCGAATGCACTCACTTCGCATCCCGTTTTAGCCACGTTTCGCTCGTGGCTACATTATCGCGTGCCCATGGCATTCCTTGTTTTATGCTTACCTCGACAAAGAACCATTGAGTGCGGCAGCATACCCACCTTATGAGGTTGAATTTGCAGCAAGGAATCACATGTATAAACACCAAAGCAAACGCACGCTCATGGCATTTGTAAAAGTCGCACAAAAAATAAATCTCAAATGTGCTGCCGTTGTTCATGTTCTGTTTTAATAACCTTCAGACAGCATCAATTGAACTGTTCTCGCAATTTAGAGTGTGCCTGTCTGTTCGGTTCATGCTGCATGGAAGATTCCATATGGAGTTCAATGTTTGTCCATCTTTTCAGCAAGGAAGGCGCATGAATACAACGTAAACAAAGCAATTTTTTGCGTAGTTATCGCATAAAAGCTTGAACTGCCATCTTATAATCGAATCGTAATAGGCATGCTGAAGCCCAGGAATTGTTGCCCACTCAGATGTTGTGCCCCACGACCTCAAATTCTGTGCAGTGGAAACCAAGCAAGAAGGCACGCTCTAAATCGCAAGAGCAGTTGGATTCACGCTGTCTGAAAATTACTGAATTGGAACATTAACAATGCTCCTGCATTTCAGATTTATTGTGCAACATTTACAAACACCTTGAACATGCATTTGCTCTGCTTTTTATACGTGTGATTTCTTTTGACTTTAACTAGCAGCTTCCAATGAAAACATGAAAGGTGCGGAAGCTATTTCACGCAATGATTCCTTGTTTAGAAAGGAATAAATGAGAAAATGAATGCCATGGATGCACGCGATAATGTAGCCAAAAGTAAAACGTGGCAAAAGCAGGAGGCGAAGTGAGTGCATTCGGCCCGCCGGTCAGGCAGTCTGGAGTTGGAAATTTACTAGTGAAACCAATGAGCGCTACATCTATCCCTAACTGCAACAAGCATATCATTTTCAAGGCTTGGTGGCGCTGACCTCAGTCGAAGCAAGCTTAGGCCACGCGTCGAAGCGTCCAAGTTAAAGCTGCTGACGGCTGTACGGCATCAGCTTTACTTCACCACATGAGACCTGCTTCGACTGATGCTAACGCTGCCAAGTGTCGGACATGGTTTATTTACTGCAACAAATAACAGTTGATGTGCGGGTCGATTTCTCCAGTAAGTTTTGAGTTCACTTCTGCCTAACTGGCGGGTCAAAAACACACTTCGCAGGTCCTTTTGTGCCACATTTTGCTTGTGGATATTTTTACGCAAGCCCATGAAATTCATAGCCAACGCTTATGTCAGCAATGACCCATTGTGTTTGACAACTAACGCACCGTTCTAGTTTGAAATTGCAGCTGCTGCTAAAAAAGTAGGATATTGGAAAAACTGAGAAAACGCACATTCATAGCGCTTGTAAATATTCCACAATAAAAAATCAGAAATACGGTGAGCAAGCAGTTGATCTTCTATACGAATATAATACTTTGATCAAGCAGCAACTGCAATGTTGAAAACGAATGGTCTAATAGCTGTCACACACAATGATTCATTGTACAAACAAGCAAATGGCAACGAATTTCATGGGGGTGTGTGGAACATAGCCATGAGCGATACATGACAAAAAAGGACTTTCCAAGAGAGTGCAATAAACCTACCGGTCAGGTAGACATCAAACTGAAAATTACTATTAAAAACAACCTCCGATCCATCTTTACTATAAAGTGCAGCTAACAAGCAGTGGCCAACACTTGGCCGCACTTGCATCAGTCAAGGTAAGTTAAGGAGCTGCGTCGAAACAATCAAGTTAAGTGTGCTGATGGCTGAAATTCTGTGGCTGGAAACTTGCAGCAGTGCTCATAAGCAGGGCACTGTAGTCGCCAATTTGGAAACAGCTTATAAAACGCATGCATGATAAAACATACACTACACTGAAATGAGCAAGCTTCCTCACTAATCTCTCTAAGCTTCTTCTTGTGGACGCAATCGCTGCTGGGCAGGCTTCTGCCAGCCTTCTGCTGCAAACCAATTCCAACAGTTTCTGTGATGCTCCTATGCGTGCCGTACCAGCTGCTGTCTAGCTCATTGAGAGGGTAGACCACTTGACGAAATGAAAGTCCTTGGAACTCTCATCAGACGATGATGATATTTGATGTTTTGTGGCGCATGGGTCATTTCGTGGCCAAAAAATCTAGTTCCTCTTAATAGAGATATGGACATTGATTATGATAAGTGGCTGTATAAGGGCCTTTAAATTACTCACGCTAAGGCGAGTAAAAACTTCGAAGTAATAAAATCATGACCATGCCATGAAAGGTACGTGATGTTAATGAATGACAAAACTTTGTGATAGTGAAAACAAGTATGGCATAAGCACTAGTGCATCAATTGTTCACAACCTTGCATCTAAATGCCGTGAAGCATGTGCTTTGTTGAGTGTAGCCACCGCAGCGGAGACTTCTCTGGAGAAGTCATGCTGCGGAATGCCGGGGTATATGATATGAAACGTACAGATTTCTTTTTAAAAAATCTAACAAAGATTTATGAGTAAAAAGTGGTTCTGTACTGACGAACAATGCAGAACGGAGTCGTATCTGTTGAAGGTAGGGTGACCGAAAGTGCTCTCTTCTTAGCGTATCTAGTTCGTTACACTGGATTAGAATGTAAATTATGGTGAGTGCTTCTCCACATCTATCATACAATGGTGGATCACCCGCAGACAAAAGAAATGAATGTAATGTGTATGTATGTGCTGTTCTCAACCTTGTAAAGATTATTTCTGTGTGGCGCGATTTTGATACTGGCAGCCAATGACCAAGTTGCGGCTTGATGACATGCAATTTATTACCTGCGTGTGTGTGTCCCATGTGCTCTGCCAGTAGCCCGTGAGTCTTCGTTTTCGAAGAGGTTTCAAGTCAAGTGCAGGAACTGGTATCAATGAATCGGAAGCGGTGGCGGATCCAGCTAGCTGGTCCACCAGTACGTCATCTTGAATTTCGTGGTGTCCTGGCACCCAGCAGACTACAACAAGCTGCTTAGATGAGTAGACTGCATAAGAGCGAATAAAGTGAAACAAGGACAGGGTTCTTGAGCTTTTTGAGAGATTTCAGAGCTTTTACTACACTGAAGGATCTGTATATATGGTATTGCCTTTTGTAGCTTTATTTGTTTATAGTGTTTGACGGCCGCGAGTATCGCATAAGCTTTGCCGGTGAAAATATTCGAATCAGAGTGCAGAACGCTGGCTTCAGAAAAGAATGGGCCGACGGCTGCGTACGAGACAGAAGCGCCGGACTTTGAAGCATTCATGAAGAACTCAGGACATGTGTATTTCTGTTGTAGTTCTAGGAAGTATGTCTGGATATGTGCAATTGGTGCATGCTTCGTAACCTCCAAGAATGACACGTCGCAATCTATTGCCTGCCATTGCCACGGTGGCAGGCATACTGCGGGAGCTATCAAACGGTGTTCAAGTGGCACACCGGTTTCCTTTGCTAGGGCCCCTTACATGGAGTGAGTAGGGCTGTCTCATAAGGATCGTTTCCGAAACACTGCATGGCTTGACATGTTAATAATTGTGGAATGGGATTGGTGACCCTTGTCTGCATTTACATTAGGATAATATTTAAAAGACATGTAACATTTTTGTAGTTGGAGCGACCATTCAATTGATACCACGTACAGGCTTTCCACGGGGCTAGTGCGAAAAACACCCGTGGAGAGGCGGATGCCTAGATAATGAGCAGGGTCAAGCATTGAACAAGGTGAAGAATTTTAAGAGCAGTAGGTGTCATAGACTGAAATGTTATTGCCCCATAGTCTAGACGGGAACGCATGAGGCTTTTTAGAAATTCATTAAACACTTCTTGGTGCTTCCCCCCGTAGTGCGAGACAACACTTTTAGAACGTTAACAGCTTTTATGCAGTTGTTTTTTAAATATTCGATGTGTGGTATGAAGGTTAGCTTAATGTCCAAAATTAGGCCTAATAATTTGTGTTCGGTTTCAACGGGAAGTCGTTGCCCGTGCAGTTGAATGTAGAGTTGAGGATGAATTCCTCTCTTCCTGCAGAACAAGACACACGTGTTTTTCAGTGCATTCAATCGGAACCCGTTTTCTTCATCCCAATTGGAGACCTTGTTCAA